AAAGTGGATGCTCCGCCAATCCGGTGGCGGAAAGGCGAGTTGATAGGCTGCGGGGCGTTTGGTCGCGTGTATATGGGGATGAATCTCGATTCCGGTGAGTTGCTGGCCGTTAAACAGGTAAATTGTGCTTCGTTTGAATTCGAACTGTTAACTAGATGCGGTTGCGTTTGATTGTTTGTTGAATTGATATTCTTTTTTCTTTCTTTCTTTTTGTGTTTGATTTTATTTTCTGTTTCTGCTTGTGGATTGAAGGTGTTGATTGCGGCAAATAGTGCTTCAAAGGAGAAAACTCAGGTAAGGAGCTTTTATTAAGTTCCATTCGAACAATCTCATGGGAAGAACAGTATGCTAATAATGGGTTAGTTTTCCCGTTCGTAATTCGAAGCTGAAATATGAATTAAATGGATTTGCCTGCTTTATTGGAATAGGCTCACATTAGAGAGCTTGAGGAAGAAGTGAAGCTACTAAAGAATCTTTCACATCCAAACATAGTGGTGAGTATGAATTTGTATTTTCATTTAAAAGTCTGTTATTCGTTTTGCAAATTATGATCTTATTTTTCTTTTCCCCTTTTTATTTGCTTTTGGTTTACTAGAGATATTTGGGAACCGTTAGAGAAGATGATTCATTCAATATTTTATTGGAATTCGTCCCTGGTGGTTCCATTTCTTCACTTCTTGGAAAATTTGGATCCTTCCCTGAGTCTGTAAGTGATTGTTGGTTTAAAATTTTAAACTGGGGTTTTTGGCTATGGGTGAGCTTATAGTGTTTTTTATATTTGTTCTCAAAAACAGGTTGTAAGGATGTATGCCAAGCAGCTTTTAATGGGATTGGAATATCTTCATAAGAATGGTATTATGCATAGGGACATCAAGGTATGCAATTTTTCTAGCAGGATACTCTTACTCAGTGCATATGAGTGCACTGTGTTGTATGTGCATGTTTTCTGATACCCTGTTATTTATTTAGGGAGCAAACATTCTTGTGGATAACAAGGGATGCATTAAACTTGCAGATTTTGGTGCATCAAAAAAAGTAGTTGAGCTGGTTCGACATCCTCCCAATTCTCTTAATGATACAGATTTTAGATTTGATTTTGCGTAAGGATTGTGCACCCGATGGGGTTTCTGCCTTGCTGCAGGCTACTATTGGTGGCACCAAGTCGATGAAGGGAACTCCATATTGGATGGCTCCTGAAGTTATTCTTCAGACAGGGCATAGCTTGTAAGAGAACTTTCCTTAAACTTATATATTGTCCTGAAAATGTAAATTAATACCTTCATAATGGTAATTGCATAGGAAGCCTATATTCTTCCAAGGATTCTTCCTTGGCTGCATCAGATACTCTAAAACGTTCTCTAGTTTTATCTTAGACTGGTTCTAAAGTATCTCAATATGTTTCAATTGAAAAATGCTGGATGAAATATTAAATAGTTATTGGACATGAATTATCTCTAAATCTGAGTGTTTACCAACTGAAATTAGGTTTTATTGTGCTAACTAATATCTTCTGAGCCACAATCCCATGGAGGTTGTTAGGTTTTCTTGTCAGCTTCATGAATCAGACCTGTAACTAATTCCACTGTTTCTTTTCCTATTTTGGTTATAATCATTCTCTTCTGTTTTCATCTTCAAAGGAAAGCACTGTAACAAAGCATTTTCATAATACATACTACAAATCTTTTGTCCTGGCTGCCATTACAAATTATATATTCAAGCCATGTATAGCTAGCTTCTTTCATCCAAATAAATAAATAGATTCTTGAAGTCCCTATAATCTAATCTTGGGAGCTAATTCATTTTGAACTTCAATTTCATAGCTCTGCTGATATATGGAGTGTTGGCTGTACTGTGATTGAGATGGCAACAGGAAAGCCCCCATGGAGCCAACAGTTTCAGGAGGTACTCTGTTGAAGCCATGTACTAATCCTCATTGTATGAGTTTTATCTATATCTATATGGTCTACATGTTAACTGAATTAGTTTGCTGATATCCATTACTTTGAAATTAAGAGGTGGTGTTTCTCTCAGGTTGCTGCTCTTTTCCATATTGGAACAACTAAATCCCATCCACCAATCCCTGAGCATCTGTCTTTTGAGGCAAAGGACTTTTTGTTAAAATGCTTACAGAAGTACATTTCTCATATCTGATTTTTTCTGTCTTCATGCTGTCTGGCTTTTGTTTTTATCTGTTTATTCTTTTATGTTGTAACATTGATGTTATCAACTCTAATAAATATCATTATCTGGTGGCAGGGAACCAAACTTAAGGCCTACTGCATCAGACTTGCTGCAGGTAATTATAAATCATAGATGATCTTTCTGATCAACTTTTCTTAAGACTAAGCTCTGAAAGAACATGTACTGAAATGTTTACTTGTGTAGAATTTAACTTTTTGATTGTGATTATGTTTTTCTTACTATCTGCAGCATTCATTTGTCACTGGAGACTATCAAGAGCCTCATCCAGTATTTCGTAACTCAGTTATGGTAAGTTTAATTGCACTTAGGTTTATATGTTTGAGCATTCTATCATTTTCATCATTATTTTGCTAATTTGCCAGGACCCTGGAAATCTGGTGATGACATCAGGGGTGAATCTTAGAAACTCGTATGTATTTTGGTTTCAGGGATTTGTACACTTTTAATGAACTTTTATTTTTCTGGCAATTTGACTCTAGAAATTATACCTTTGCTGCAGAATAACCTCTGAGATCAGAAGGTCAACCTGCTCGGGCTTGAAAGATGTTTGTGAAATGGGTAATGTCAGGTGTTCAACTGTATACCCCAAGAAATTATTACAAACAGGATCCTATTGGAGGACAGGAAATTGTGATGATGATATGTGTCAGATAGATGACAAAGACGATCTTTTGAGTGGTGGATCAGCAAGATTCAACTCTGTGTTAGCATCTGCTGGTTTAAACAGGGTAATAAACACCTACTTTAGGTTCCTCTTCATACACATATTCTTAGATGCTTGAAATGTGCTTAAGATACAATTTCTGATTATTTATTTGGACCAGAGTTTCAACCCTATGTGTGAACCCACTGAGGACTGGCCTTGCAAATTTGATGAAAGTACAGAGCTGAAGACAAGTGGAGTGAACTTATCTTCTGGCCAAACAGTTGAAGCCAATGGTAGCCTTGGAATATCCTCAAAAGAGGAGAATGATTTCACTTTTCCAAATGGAACGTTAGCGCAGGATGATGAAGAGGGAGTTACAGAGTAAAAAATTAGGGCCTTTCTGGATGAAAAAGGTATGTCTTGTTAGTAAAGATCATTCTTTACAGGAAAAGTGATGGAAGTATGATGTGCTGCATATTTTGTTCATAGAAAAGGAGGACATGCATGATAAAAGCTAAATGATTATCTTCTGCACATTTCATTAGGCTGTTGAATTGAACAAGCTGCAGACACCTCTATATGAAGAGTTCTATAACACATTGAATGCAACTGGCCATGCAGTTGGTACTGGAAATGGCGAAAATCTTTTGCCTCCTAAAAGCAGGTCACCTAAATGGCTACCTAGCAGAAGAATCTCTACAGCTTTTGATGTTGCTAATATTGCTAGCCCTGGGGATCATCATGAATCAAATGCTGCTGCTGTGCACAATAGGGCTCTGCAGGAACTTCAGCCACCTCAGATAAATGACTTAAAAGGGCATGTTCTTCACTACCAGCAGGAAAGAAGTAGTCTGAGGTCCATTGTTATTCCTTTATGCATGCTTTATGGTCTCTTTGCTTAGGAATCTTTTCCGTTTCCATTTTGTAACCTGTGAATGACATTACAGTTTGAGCTTCTCTGAGAGACAAAGGAGATGGAAAGAGGAACTTGATGAAGAGCTTGAAAGAAAACGAGGTGAGTTCTATTTCTCTACACAGTATTTCACACTTCAGTCATTTCCCAACCTCATGTTTGATCAATTTTTTATTTTATTTTATTTTATTCTTAGGGAGCTGGAATTTTGATACCATAAATGTGTATAATTTCAGTTAAAGTTCATTTAGACATGGGGATACTAGATCTGAAATTGAACTTAGCCCTTCTTTCATCTCTCCAGGCCATAATTAGCTTGCTTTTGTTAGATCTTGCTAAATGAGTATGGGGGATAAATAAATACAACCTTTAGTGATGTTTTCCCTTGAGTTAATCATGTTTATTTATCACAAGAGTCAAGGGGGCCCCTGCATTTTTGTTTCATGCAACCTCTACTGTCATTCTATGGTTTGTAGTTTGATAAAGGTCACATGACTTGAGATCTGCTATAATGGATGTATAACATGGAAAGTGCCTATTGCAGAGATGATGCGCCAGGCAGGTGTATGTGGAAAGACATCATCTCCAAAGGAAAGGATTCTAATTCAACAGAGAGAACAAATATGGTTTGCATTCCCATACAAATAGATGTAGTATGTATAATACTTGTACTTGTTTCAAGTGTCGCCACCCAATGGAAAGAAAATATGCTTTCCATTGGGACGGTATGTATGTAGTTCTTTATGAGAGGTGGGCTGATCAATTTTACAGTAAGATCCCTATGAATAGAAAGGCAGCACAATCTTCCTCCCTGCTGCATCATGGCCTTGTTTAGCAAAGAAAATTCAATGTAAGCATTGTTTATGCTTTTACCTTTTTTGTTTCTTTACATTGATGTGCCTTGTTATTGTGGCGGATTTCAGAACAAAGAAATAAAGGCATTTATTAAATTTGCAAACATGTTTATATAGTGAATATATGAAGTGTGTGTGAATGGTGAATTGTCCTTCGGTTTCAGCATACTTGCATGACCTTTTATGTCCATAAACAGCATAATGCTTCATGATTCTGAGCAGTCAATTGCCAAATTTTGAATCTAAAATATCAGCTTGCTTGCAATGCTAGATTTTAAATGTACTAGTACAATACAATAGATTCTCCAAATTGATGGAATCACCTCTTAAATATCTTGGGCTAAGCGTTCATAAACTGTGTTACTTGCTAATTTTCAGTTAGCGACTTTAGTCTGTGCCTTTCTGCCTGTTTGTGATTAGTTTTGGATGGAATATGGGAGTATCCACCACATTAACTTTGCAGTTTTTGAAGATGCATTTCTATATGACATGTGTATCGCTCTCTATATAGTTCATGAACATCTTTGACTTTATCTCCCTACACTTTCTTTACTCCTTTTTCTTCTTTCTGCTGCTCATTGCATTTTAGTAAACAATTCATTTGGGTAATTGCTTGTTTCTTTTCGATTTTCACATGAGAAGTATATTAGACAATAGATGATAGCAATTTCATATCACAGATTCTCTAATGAATTCCTTTGGGGAATATCTTTTCTTTGCCACAAACATCTAGTGCCATCATCCCTTGTTGATTTTTAGTAGTATTTCCAAGCCATTTTATTCACAATCCCAGGAATGGTGGAAGTCTGATTTATGAGCCATTGAATCTAATTATTTCCTTCTATTATTTGCGTTCTTGTTTTTTCATTTTCCACAATCGTACTAAATCTGTATCATATGCTTTCATCATTATCAATCCTCGCATTTTGACCTGAGTGAAAATGAATCACATTTCTTACTATTTTAACCACTGCATAAAACAGCTTCTTCTCTTCATGTTTCATGAGCTTTTATTCTCCCATGAATTATAATTTCATATTTAGAAATTTTGCACGCACTGAATCTGTTTTCTTTGGTGTTTCCTGCATTAGAGCTTTCAGCCTTGTTTTTTTGAAGTCAAGGATGCATTAGTTAAGTAAAGAATCAGTATTTAAGGGGCCATCAATGACACGTTCCCTCATTCACATACACCATAAACCTTGTATCTCTTTCTTTTCCTTCTTTTTTTTTTTTTTTTTTAATTTCTAGCTAAGTTTTTTTTTTTTTTCTAGCGTAATGTTAAAAAAGAGGAGAAATTAATATTATGTATAGGGAAAAATTAGTCAAAAGTGTTCATTACATAGTAGTTAATTTATTATTAATTTTTGGTAATGAGTTTATACTCCTAACTGTAAAAATTCATAAGTATAAGTTAGCGTTATACATATAATTATATGTGATTGAAGATATATCTCTTTTATATGTCTATGGTTTTTTATTTGTGTAAGTAAATCTTAAATTCATAGACCCATAAACTATACACTGTAACTATAGCTCTTCTATGTACCTACACAAATTTAAATTGTGTAGGTATAATCTAATTTTTACTACCATTTTTTTGTAGGTGTAGCTACAACTTATTTATATACCCATAAATAGTAAA